AAACGTTTCGCCGGCATCGTCAGTGAGTATCGCCATCCTAAGCACCACACAGCTACTCGTCAAAGAGACAGAATAGCTTGATGAATTAGGATCCCAACTTGTGCATAATTCATATTTTTTCTTTTAAAGCTTGGGAGTACAAGATTTTCTCTCCTGATTTGAAACCCTATAATTTACATCAAATGAGCTAAAATGGTATTATTTGTATTTTTAATTTCTCTTAAAATCATTTCTTAGTCTATTCGCACCTCTTCCTTCGTATCTGATTCCACCATATCAACTGGCACTCATCTTGGTGGTTCGACCAATCGATCCAATCGCAATGTCGGCGGTGGTCGGCATCATAAACAATTTCACTCTGAACGACGCGCGAATCAACATCAACAACATGTTTCGCCTGTAGATATCCTGGTTCCTGATGTTGCTATGTACGCATGTGGAACGCGCCTTGTGAAAGATTTTGACTCTGAAATTTTGTGGACATGCGAGGTGAGAAACAAGAACTTTGCACAGTTTAAGCAAAGCCAACATTGCCTAAGCAGTTGCAAAATGTACATTTAAAATAAAATTTTATGGAATGAGTAGTAAAGATTTCTCGTGACCCATCTAATACACCGGCCACCTCATTTCGCACTGTTAGTGGTCCTTAATGCCGCTGAACGTCAATGATTATTGTTCGGATGATCTTAATTATTAGACTGTTTTTGCTTACTGGGCCATTTTGAATAGAACATTGGCATAATCTCCTTTTGTCCTCTTTCATGAAATGCTGACTTCAATATCCAGTTTAATTTACTATCATACGGTTTATCCACACTATAAAGGTCCTTTTCCCGGTACATTTCACTTATTTTTCTTTCTTTATCATGTCTTTTGATGATTCTTAGCTATCGTAGAAGTATTATAATTTATTTTCCCGTCGCGATATTTTTTACAGGTACTCTGTTGGTAGTCTGGTAGACTGTAGTTTGAGCTAAATTTTCATTTTCATCTTAAGGTTTTTACCTATCAC